ATTTTAAGAACAGTTAAAGATTTATTTAATATCTGAAATTGTTAACAAAGATTTTTTATATTTTAAGATTAGGTGAGGTGTTGGTCAGCAGATTATTTTAAGATTAGGTAATCTTTCACTGGCTCTTGTGACTGTTTGTCATTTTTATTTTAATGAAGCATTTAACAAATTTATATATATATATATATTTGGGGTGGGGAGAGTGAAATAATGCATTATTTCACTTCTCTATAATATTTCTAATGAAGTTAAAAAACTAGTGAAACATGTTAAATTTATAAAGATTTTTCTACTCGTTCCTTATTTAATCATTTGGTCAGATTTAATTTATATTTTAACTCAAACACACACACACACATTTTTATGAGGGATAGGTTATAGTGGTTCCAATGGGAGAAAAGTGTATATTTTAAAGAGAAAAGAGTTGCTACAAACGTTTTAAGTTATTATGTGGATTTTTTTAATATATTATACTTTATTTTTCATAATTTTTGCTATGTATGTTTTGGGTCTTGTGACCTTCATCAGGTGAAGAATAGTTATTTCCACTATTATTTAAAGGAATTAATTTTTCTTGTGTGTTTTGTGTGTGGTAGTAATCCAAATTCTTCTGAGACTAGCAGAAATATGTTCCTTTGTTTAAGGAGTAATAAAACAATTAGAATTAGCCAGAGAAAGGCCAATTTTTGTTCTTATCTTTTTATGTCCTCTCTATCTTTATAAACCTTTCTCCATTTTTGTGTATTGTATGTGTTTTTGCTAGTATGTGTATATATACATTCCTTCTCCAAACATATATATTTTATTACAAGGAAACAATATATATATATATATATATATATATATATACACACACACACAAGTAGATGCACTATATTTTTATAGTTTTATTAATGATCATTTACTAAGATTAATGTCTTCATCAAATTTCAATATTTTCTTCCTTTGCATACCATTAGCCATGGATGAATGGATGTTGTACATAATTATAAAACTCATCAAACTTTTCCCCAGTCTGTTTTCTAGCAATACAGTTTCTTAATGTTAAAGTTTAAATGTGAGCAAAATAAAAAATGGAACAAAATACAGAATCGACAGATTCTGTATTTTGTTCCATTTTTTATTTAATAGTAATGTTAATATCTGCTGCATAAATATAGTGACTATGGAATATCCTCTTGTCATTTTGTCAAGGTCCAAAGAAGTGGTGAAGCATCAAATGCTGGAATATTTTCCTGTCATCATCAGATAATATGATTATAAGAAAACTATAAGAAAAACTATCAATTATAAGATAACTAAAGGCAATCATTAGAGCTACACAAAATAGGAAGTTGTAGAGAGCCATGATCACTGAAGGGACACAGATAAAAGAATAAGAAGAGCTCATTATTAAAAGATATTTTCAGACCAGAAAGATACTAAATAACCAAAATAGTACAAATCAGTCTTCCAAAAAGAATGTTTATAAAAAAAAATAAAAACAATTATGAAAATCAGTATAAATGAAAATTTTATTTTTTTATTGGAAAAAAAAAAAAACATTTGCTCAAATCTTTAGAAATTTTTAAAATTGTTGATTCTTTTTTTATATATATATATATATATATATATATATATATATATATATATAATCATAAAATATCCATTGATAGCAATTTCTGGATGGACTTCAATAATTAATAGAAAAATATTCAAGAATTTCATACAAACTGATTTAAACTTAATTTTTCCTGTCTGATCTTCTTCAGCCATTGGCTCTCTGACCTTCAGGTGTTTGTTGTCAATGTGTGTAACCTTTAAGGAATTTTAAATTTTAAACTGAAACCTTTATTTAATAATGCAGATTTTTTTACATTCTGCTGTCCTTGTCTAAGGAATATCTTCAAATTGCTATCAATGCACATTTTATGATTATATATAAAAGAATCAACAATTTAAAAAGTTTCTTTTGATAGACATCCAAAGAAGACTGGATGGTACAATGTCTGACACAATGTGATAATAATGAAGATGAGGATATTAGCCTGAATGTAACTAATGATAACTCCATATCCCAGAAAATAAGACAGAAACAAAAATATGTTTGTTCCATTTTTTAGAGTTGTTAATATAGCCAGCCACTTTTTTAAATAGCAAACTGCATAGTAGTCAAACATAGGGTACCATAACAAAAATCTTTTACACCTGTTGGTTTTGAAAGAATTAGGATCAGAAAAGACTTACTACACAAACATTGTTGAGTTTTTTATTCTGCTGAACAACATGGAAGCCATGGAACAAAAATCTGATATAATAACTGTATGATTTGTGCTTATAGGACTGTTGATGGAAGACAATTAAGATTTTATTTTATTTAAGTTAAACTATAAAAGCAAATCCAATATTTCATACAATTTTTAATATTTCACTTTTAAACTGTTTATGTTCAGTTCTAAACATGGTACATACAGTCTTAATTTATTATGTTAGGAAATCTTTTCTTAAAATTAGAAGAGAGTGCTGAAAATTTCTCAGCGCAATTTAATGAACTTAAAAACTTTTTTTTAATTTCTTGATTGGGTCAGGAACTTTTCAGCATTCACCTTTATTGGTTCATTTATATTTAATTTCTGTTTATCCACTTAAACAAGAAATTGGCAGTTAGGTTTTTTTATCCAGTTTAGTGAAATATTAACCTGACTAATTGGTACATTATTCAAAAATATTTTTCATATCTTAAAATAAATGCTAACTATTGGAAAAAAAAATTGGTATGTCTTTCCTGCTTAAAGGTCACTTGATACTTTTTCAGAGTGAATGTTAAACTCACAGATGTCTGATATATGCTTCATTCAACTCATCCCTACCATTCGATGCTGAGATTTAGCCAAGATAAGTTTGTGATTTCAAAAATAGCTCTGATATCTCTCAGTGGACTGAAGTTCTTTTTTGCATCCAAGATAAAAAGGTTACTGGGCATTACAGATGAATGTAGAAGAACACAAGTTGCTTAATACTTGGCAGTTTGCATCAGAGATTAATGGAATGAAAAATAGTAACATGGGAAAAAACTTAACTCACATGAAATCAATAAAAAGAATCAATAAAGGTAAACCATTTTTTAGATGAAATAAAGGAAAGTAGAAGAAATCTTTGATAAATGTTAACACTTATCAGCTTGTATTTAGTTTATCCTACAACTGAAGGTGACTTTAATCCTTGAACAATAGTGTATTTGAATTTCATAGTTGTGTTGTCATATCCTACTATGGCAACAGAAAACAAATTTGAGTGGAATTAACAATAAGGTTACTACAATTGAGAGACCTTGAAAAAGAATGCAGTGGAAAGCAAAGTAATATTGATGATGCAGAGTGTAAAGGTTAATATTTTTCAATATAATTCCTTAATTTTTCTACTTGTGAATTAATTCTTTGAAATGGTAATGACATATGATTATGCTAATTAAAGGAGCTGGTAGTAGGAAGAATGAACATTTTATTGGGCATGAGAGTTCAAAGTACTTGAGATTGACATTTCTATCTATCTCTGACTAGTCTTGACCTACATATTTCAGTCTGAGATGAGTTGGGTCTGGAATCTAATCTGGTTGGAGTACAAGGTCCATAAAAGAGGAAGTGTTTGACCATCTATCACTCATGTAAACCTGGCCAATTTTCTAAAGTCTAGTAGTAGCCATGTTGTTTTGATGTTGAAACACATGAATAAACCAAAATGATTTTCATCATATGCAGCCAGGGAGGACATGTCACTTTTTGATCACACCAATTTTTCTGCATCCAGTAAAATGATCAACTGAGTAGCAACATCTAAAATCCAACCAGGTGCTGGTTTAAAGAATAATGTTACACGTTTTTAATTCATTTGTACTGCCATCTTCAGCATATTTATACTTTTCAAACCATTTTTTAATTTTTTTAAATTGTATTAACTTTGTTATAATTGGGTTATAATTAAAAATGAAAGTTGATGTAATTGCACACCAACTCTAAAACAAAACTAAATAAAAATGATGAACTAAAGCAAGTTGAAAACTGTTCAACAATAACAAAACGTTTTCTGATCACTTCATTTACACAAAATGATACTACTAGGCATTTAAACTTTTTATATGCATAAATTTCTTGGATACATTAATTAGGAAAGAGGGCTTGAAGAATCTGACACTCACAAAACATACTGAAGGCAAAAGTGGCAGAGGGAAACAGTAACAGTTTGTGTAAATGAATGGTAGAACAAGGATAGTAAAAAGACAAACATTGTTAAGAGTTACAAAGGACAGGAGGTTGTGGAGAGCCATGATCGCTCTTGTCCTGAAGATATATGACACATAAAAGATGTCAAAATAAAAACTGACCCAAATATATCAATATATTTTAATGTTAATATTTCATTAAGTTTACTTAAGTCACAAGACCAAATGAAGACAGTAAGAAAAATTGTGTTTTAGTTGAGGAGAGATTACCTTGTATTTGAAATTCTGGCTTTTACCTAGATTTGAACCCTAAATTCTGCTACGGATAAGGAATCATCCATAACTATCTCAACTAACAACTAGTCTGATGTCCTCTTATGTAACTATTCAGTTAAAAAGAACATTTATTCGATCTACACAAAGAATATATCGACATGAATACAATCTTTTTATTAACTAATAATATTTGTCTTTCTAATTGACTATTTCATGAGGAAAATGTTTGCATTTTCTTATATTTGTACAACAGCTTAACACATTATATTTTATTTGATAATCTGAACATTATCAAAATAAAAAAAAACAAAAAACATTGAGAACCAAACTCCGTATACAAGACATACAAAAAGAGGCTAAGTTATTTGGTTGTGTCAAATTTTACTAATTTACTAGAGATATTGTTACACACTAATCCATTTTATTTTTCCATTTATCATAGCAGCAATAAAGTACTTAACAAAACTTCAAAGAATCATTTTTGACACATTTACAGTTTTAGATAATCTTTTACTTAAATACTCACCAGTTCATGCCTTAACCAAAGAATTGCCTGTTGCAAATCAGCCATTCGACTTTCCTGATTTTCAGTACCATTACATGTTGATGCATTGGTTAACTGCATGTCTTCGAGGTCTCGATAGGAATTAGTACGTTTAATGAAACGTTGAAATCGTTTTGGTAACTTTACAGTACCTGGCAAGAATGCATTATGGAGTGGAACAATATCCCAGTCTCCACCTGAAATGTTAAAAAAAATAACAAAATATAAATCAAAGAATTGCAATTATCTTTTGGAAATTTTGAAAGACTTGCAGGAAATTTATTTTAAATGTCTGATACTTCTATTTTCAGAGTACAACATTTCTGAGTTCAAAATAAATATATGATAATATTTATTTAAATTTTAAGATTTGCTTGTATTTGGAAAGCAATTTAAATTAATGGTTAAATATAAAGAAAATTATCAAATAAATTTAAAAAAATTTACAAATGTATATGTCTACAATGAATTTAGTCTGCTTGGTTAATGGCTGTTATTCAAGTACAGTTAAACAAAAAAGGCTGAATGCTGATTTTTTAAAGATAGGTAGACAAGTCTTTCATAGTTGTAAAATTAAATACAATTTTTCTTCATCCCCCAAACAATTGGCATTGTGCTAAAATAAGCTAAGCTTAATAGACAAAATGAGTTCTTACATTTTTACAGATGTATTAATTGTACAATTAGATTCTCTTCTATGAGGACATTTAAACAATGCATTAAAAGAATTAAGGACTTCATCATAAAAATAACAAAATTAGACAATACTGTGGGTTCTCTACAAATAGGACAACTTTAAATTGAATTCAATATATTAAGAATAAAATTTACAAGTTAAGAAATTTGTATTCATCACATTTTCAGTTTGGAACAATGTGAGCATGCCACGTTCTCATTCTGCGACACTGCCTGTAAGCACATTGTATTCCCAGTATGCAACACTGCGAGCATGTCACATTTTCAGTTTGCAATATTGTGTACATATGAAATTCCTAGTTCTGGTTTGATTTATTAAAGATATGACTATTTTTTGTAATATACACATTTCTTGGGCCAAAATGTGTATTGACAATGTTGTGTCTCTCGCTCTACATATAATAATATCTTCATTTATTTTCGTATTAATTTATATAACATATTTTTCATTAATAATTTTAATGCTGAATATCAAATTGAATACCTGTGAATCTGCACAATACTGGATAAGAATTCCTATTAAATAAAAAGTGATTAAAAAGAAAAAACATTGATTGCATTTTGTTAATTTAATTATTTTGATTCTTTTTTTAATGTATAAATAAATATCTTGTATAAATATACTTATTCCTATTTTACATCTGCCTACATTCATGTGCAAACTTTATAATCATATGAGAAGAGGAAACTTAACAGAAATTATTACTTATCCCAATCTTAATCAGATTATTTGCTTCCTCTATGGCACTTAATTATGAAAACAGGTTAATTTATTCCAAAACGGAGTTAAACATGGAGTCTTACTGATGGCCATGAATTATTTAATCATATACACATGTATCTGATAAAAGATTCTTTTTAAAGATGCAGCAATTTAGACATTATCTTGACAAACTTATTGGCTCCATTTCTGATGAAAATAGATAAGATATTAAGACACTGAAAGTTATTAAAGAAATGCATGCCTGATTATAAAATGGACATTGCTATTTTCAAAATAATCTATTTAAATCATCTGTTCTCCCAATAAAACAGATTCCTGCAAGCAAAATGTCAGTGTGTATTACTCAAGTCTTTAAAGAATGAATAAAAAAAAAACTGGTCATTTGCTAAAAATAAAAGGCTTTTATTAGATATCACATTTTGTTGCTATATTTGTAGTTTTGGGGGTATTTTAATCTCGTGATTCAAGGATAATAAAAACATGGTGACGTTGAATCTAATCTTGTTTTCCAGAGTTCACACCTTTAGCTGAGGTGAATGAACAGTTACATTATAAAGGGGGAAAAAAATCATCAAACATTACAAAGGAAGAAAAAAATCAAACATCTCCATGTGCCAATATCAGCATTTACATTAGGCAAGAATGATTTAGAAAGGAAAAGTTTATAATGTAGCAAAAATAGAGACATGCTGAGAAAATAATTTTCCTATTTGCTTCAGGATAATCATTAGATGAACAACTTTGAATAGCATTGCAAGAGAATTAAGAACTAAGTGAAATCTACAGGAAATATGCAATGGTGAAGAAATTTTATTTTTGCATGCAACCATTTTTTTTGTGATAGTTGTTACAGATGATTTTGATTAAGTGAAATATTTTTTTATATCTTACATTATTTCTGAGATTTTAAAAATCCTCAACACTGATATTTTTTCTCACATTCTATAAACTTAGAATTAGAAGGAATTGGATTTTAAATGCTTCCCCATATTCACTTTTGTTATTTGAACCTCAGAAGGTATCCCTATCTGTAATTGTTATAAAATATCACCATTTTTTAAACACTAGCTATGATCTGCATCGTGGTTCATGATTTGAAACAATTTTTCAATCCTATTTCATAGAATAAAATGCCACAAATCAAATTATCCATATACCTAATAGATCATCAGAGTACTGTACTGGGTACTTTATGGTGTGTCACAAGGAAATTGAAAAGGAATAGAGAGTACCAATTTCTTCTCTAAGAAACTCATGACCATCAGCAGAGAGTAATCCCTGACCTACAGGAAAAGGTAGATTCATGCCTTTTTTAAAAAACAGTGTAAAGCAAAGAATTTCAATGTGGATTGCTATACTATTAACTGTTACATACTTTATTCAACTTGTCTTGTTGTTAATGATGATCTAATTGGGATACTAATCAAAGTTAATAAGTCTTTTCTAAATATGAAAGCTTCAACAATGGGCTTTGAAGCACTTAGTTTATTAATATACTAACCACTGTGTAATCTCTAATCACATACCTCAAAAGTATATTTTAGATAGTAGTCAAAGTTCAAGAAACATAATAATCCCCACCAGCAGATATAGACCAGTGAGAAAAACAGAAATATTTGCAATATGAATTTGAGACATTTCTTAGAAAAAGGCATGAAGTCATTTATCTAATAATTTCATACAATTATTGCTGTAAAAACAACATCAGTGCCTCAAGCAAAATTTTCATCTAATAATTTTAGGACCAGGTATGATGTTTTAGATGTTGAAACACAGGAACATTTGGCAATACTATATAATAATACCAAACTGTTTCCATCACAGTGTAAAGACTACCAAATCAATGCAGATATGATTTCTACCTGACCTGAAACTTCTTTATAGATTTACTCTTTTCTGATAAAGATGATCCTTAGTCAAATTGAAAATCACATTTTGTTTGATATACTTTTCATTCAAATTTTCCTATACTGTTTGAATATATTGCTAAAATCCCAAAAAAGAAAAAATTCTAAGATTTCACATATACAATGGATGTAATACCTCCTATTTAACATTGTTGTTGAATAGAGCAAGTTGCTAGCTACAAAAAAACATTTTCCAAAGAATCACCACCATAGGCTATATATTTTTTGAAATTTTTCATTTCATGGATTGACAGCTGTGTAGGGCTGGCTTGTTGCACATGTTGATGTTGGCACTGCTGAAACACATTACCTATCACCTAACAGTGCTTACATCTTCTATTTGGTCTTTGTAAAGATTTAGTAAGCATTGATAAATGTCAATGAGTGAAATATTTTTTCAATGATACACTTCTTTTTTTTTGCACACACTTTGATGTCAAATAACTATCTATAATGCCGCAATAATAATAATAATAATAATAATAATAATAATAATCATCATCATAGTAAAATTTAAATTTTACTGCCATACCACCAACATCCACTTATGATGTTGTGAACCAAATTAATAAAATAGGAGGCATTATTTTCAGAGTATATAATATATTATGTAATCACTGTTGTGATATCTCATTCTTTATTTCACTAATTTTTCATACTTGGAAATTTTAAGGTTTTTAAAATAAAATTGAAATTTATTCTATATTAAATATAAAAGATATATATATATATATATATAAGTTCAGAAAAACAATAGTCTGCAATTTTGAAAAGTGATTAAAATTCCATCTTTTTCTTCAGACAATTGAGCTCCATTGTGTTATTGATGATATTACCATGTTTCCAGTGATCCAGTTGACAAAAGCTGGAACATGAAGAACATAAAGGGGAAGAGCTGTTGTCAGAATAAAAGTTGGAAGAATCATTCACTGCTAATTCAGCAACAAAAAACCCTCCTGATACTTTAGTTTTGTTTCCACCAAGTGCAGTTTTTTTTTTTCATCTTTTCAAATAAACTGCAATAAAGAATAATATTAGAATTGGGGGGGGGTGAAATGGGAGTAAGAAGACTTTGTCATACCAATCTTCCAAGTGAAGAGAGCTTGTCAATCTTGAAAATCAGCCTTCAAGATCTTGGTTATACATGGATTCAAACCCTAAACTATGACATTAGTGGAAAATACACAACTCTCTAAAAACTCAAAAAGCAGAGCATTGCTTAGCTGTTACATTCAAAATTCATAAAAATCTAATGCAAATAATTCAGAAATGGCATTTGGGAGTTTAACCATTATGATTGTAATCATGGTGAAATGTCTCTGAGCAGAACTATAATAAAACTTTAGACTACAGCAACACTTCTGCCATTATAATCTACTTTTTATAAAATTGCATTGTAGTGAAGTTGATTCAGTTAATATTTTTTGGGTGAACAAAATGTAGCACAAAAGTTCATTATTGCCAAATTGGATAACTAAAACATTCATTAAATGAAGAAATATAAAGGCAAACACAAGATCGTTTTTCTTCATTTATATTCTGAAAACAGCTATTTTGAATATATCTTTTTTGAATGAAGTTAGTTAAAACTGCATGTTCCTAATGCAAGCTAATGACAAAAACACAATTAAGTTTTTCACGCACAAAGGTAAAAAAAAATAGAACCTGTCAGGGTTGACTATGATGGTACACTTATGAAATAGTACTCATTCTTTTCTGTCAATCATTGTGGAGATGTTGAAAAGCATAATTGACATAGGAAAGAAAATCATCTAAGCAAATTCAAATTCCATATTTGCATTAATATACTCAAGAAAGGCTTTGTTCAAGTTGTCTTAACAAATGTATTACTACACACAGATGCTCATAG